TACAAATTGTCCTGATGATCTTAAAGAATATAAGGTGGTGAAGGGGTGAGGGGAACACCCTTATTGCTTTTCTAAGTGACTGTTGCTTCCTTATTCTTTATTGATGGGATAAAGGCAAACAATTGCGTGGCTATAATATCAGGAGGGGCCGCCTTGAGTTACTGTCTTCAAGACCAGCATTTTTCCTTTGCCTTGTTCTTCGTTGAGCTACGCATGAGATCTGGTTTGCAGGGTGGAAGGCTTTGGCTGTAGAAAAAACCAGCATGAGAACAGAGTATCTGTCACTGGATTCAGGCATCTCTCATAGATTGTTTTTCTGCCTGTGCTCACATACTATAAGGAGAAGACTGCAGTGCCACAGGAGCTTCTGGTGGGCCTGGCTTGGTTGTCTCATGTTTCTTGATGTGGCAGAAGGCACCACCAGTGCCTCTTCCCCTCCACCCTTTTGTTGGAGAAAAAAGCAGGTCCTACTGTTTCACTTGACTTCCTCTCCTAAATTTGGGGTCGGGTAAGAATATGAGGTCAGTCTTTCCTGTTCCATGCCTACGTCATTGTATCTTAGTGATTGAAGTGAAGTACATTTCACAAATAAAGGAACTTTTTTCATAACTTCACCATTATTCATTTTAGTTCAATTATGGATGATGATTTTGTTGCTTCACTACCCCAAACAAATTTTGACTTGTGGTGTATTAAAAGGTTAAATAACCCAGGCGCTGTAATGTGCAGCAGGCAGTTGAGGGTGGGGGAACAGAGCAAACAGATGAGTTGGAGATCAGCCAAGGAACATGTCCTACTGGCTCTCCTTGTGGGACTACAGCAGAGTCCTGGATTGATGCCATTGTGAGAAGAAAAGTATTAGAGTATGTAGCTTTGCACAAACAAAATGTTTACTGCCAAATAAAGATTACGCACATGCCTAAACTACCAAGAAAGTGATGTATGTGTACTCCAGAAAAATAACCATACTTCCAAAATAAGAATGTGGGTTTAGGAAAAAAAAAATTATTTCTCCTTTCAGATGCTAAAGCATCAGTAGTACTTGCAACTATTTAACAGTAAAGGTTGGAGTGGACTACTGCAGTAGTGTTGCTGCGAAAACTTTTCATTTGTAGAAAGCCTGACTTTCAAGGATTTACAGGTGGTTTGTTTAGGTCTTGTGTTGATGCAAGAGATCAGTCAACAAACAGCCATCATATGTTCTGTGACTGACTGGTCAGCCTGAGGGTTCAGAGCATGGTCACTGGAGGCTGTAATGTTAGAATATGAGATTCCTGATCCTCTGCTCAAGCACCTCTGGAAACATTCCCTTCTGCTGTTGGCTAAAGATGGGGTGAAGTCAGAATTGGTCACTACCAGGCATTTGTGCCTCTCTGCCAAACTTTCCCCAGAAGTAGCTATTACAGCCAAAAAATACTGAATAGTGTGGTAGTAGGCATTATAGAAACTCGTGGATAGGAAAAGTAGATGCCTATAGGACTATATGTTTAGTTTGTCTTAACAATACAAAGTGAGATAATATTCCCCAGTCATTGCTGTGCTGCTTGAAGCAAAATATGCTTTTCTTTAAAGTATTGCACCTCTGTCTCTTCAGAAAGCTTATTTGTAAGTGTCCAGGAAAAAAACAAGACTGGAAAACAGTATTTCAGCAGTAAGCAGCAATCTTCTATATGACTACCACTGTGCATCTCTAGCTGTAACCACG